CACAAGACTATGGACTGTCCAACTAAGTAACACATTGAAGAGCCATAATGCAGCAATTGTCAAAAAAATCATGTTGCGTCGTATTGTGGATGCGAAAAATTCTCTTAAAATAAGGGTAAGCAACAGAAAAAAGATAGCACTGTAAAAAAGGGAATCTCATATGCTGCTATGACAAAAAATCAAATTCCAAATTTTAAAGATAAAGCTAATATGCAAATCCCCAGCTCAGCTACTGCTGCACCAAACCAGTCAATTGAGAATAATGTACAATTCAATGTTGCTGATATTAGTAATGCTCTGAAAAATTTAAATGTTTCTAATGTAAATAGTGTTAAGCAAATCTCTTCTGAAAATAATGATTCCAGTTTTCCGCAGGAGAAAAATCAATGTTCAGAATTTGTAAATTTTGTGAAGAATGTAGCAGAATTTAATAATATTTTTGGAATTCATAACATAAAGATAATGAATAATGTATTTAAAACTTTCATGCCTAAGCTGAGAGAATTAACGGATCCTGTTGATAAAATGTTCTTATTTTTTGAAATAGTTAATGAAATTCATAATGTATCAGTGTAATCAAAGTATGTCTTTAACTATAATTACATGGAACGCAAATGGATTGCTCCCGAAAGCTTACGAGCTCAAGGAGTTTTTACACGAATTTGCCCCTGATATTCTACTCCTACAAGAACACATGCTTGGCCCTCAAAATTTTTTTAGAGCCTGCAATTATGTCACACACAGATGGGACAGATCAACTGTAGGCAGATATGCGCCTAGAGGTAATGCAAGAGGTGGATTACTTATTTTGATCAAGCGCTCCATTTCTCATTATGTCACACCATTACCACAGCTTTTAGCAATTGAAGCCTTAGCTATTACACTCACCCCAAACACATCACGACCAATCACTATTATCTCCACCTATTTTCCTATACACACACCTACAAATACTGTGAAAACAGATTTGCAAACACTACTTAAATATCAACAATCGAGTCATTATAGGTGGAGATTTCAACGCACACCACCGCGAGTGGAATTGCTGGGATATTAATCAACACGGACGCATTATTAGTCAAATTTGCCCAAGAGCGGCCAATATTAACCTAGCATTTCCCAGATAAACCAACACACTGTGGGATTGGTAGACCATCGGTCATTGACTTTTTCATCCTAAAAAATATTAACTCGCCGAGTTATATTGAAAGTTTTCATTGAAATGTCATCTGATCACAATCCAGTGATAATGTCAATACCAATACCTACAGTACACCACACAAAAGAGCCCTTATTACAAACTGGGCAGGATTATGCCAAAGCTCTAAACAACACCCAGTACCCAACACATTCAATACAAACGAGAGATGAGTTAGACGCCCTCACTGAAGAATTCACAGAAGAGCTGCATGATGCACTCCTTAAAAACAGCAAAACTGCAAGAGCAGACAAGAGATATAAAAACAGCAAAACTGCAAGAGCAGACAAGAGATATAAAAACAGTGACATCAGAGAACTGATTAGAAGACGGAACCACACACGTAAGCAATGGCAAAAATTCAGATGTCCTTCTGATAAAATTTTATTAAACCAGCTAAATCAGCAAGTCAGGACTCTAATAAAAAAACATGCACAACTTGACTGGGCCAGACATTTAGAATCGCTTTCAGCGGATGATAATTCGATCTGGAATGCGCTTTCTAAATTTAAGAGACGCAACACCAATATTCCGCCCATTAACGGCCCCAACGGGATCGCATACACTGATTTTGAGAAAGCTGAGTCTATTGCAGAAAACTATGCTTCTCAATTTCGTACACACAACATCTCTCACCCACAAACAGAATACTTAGTCTCCTCCCTCAATACACAATTCCAATCAAGAACACACACAAACAACACACCCTTAATCATGCCGTCAGAAGTTAGTAGTTATATCGAGAAGAGGAAAAAATCGTAAAAGTCCAGGACTGGATAAAATAAGCAACAAAATGATAAAAGAAATGGGACCCAAGATGCTCTGTAAGTTCACGAAAATCATCAACATCATGCTTAAAATTCAGCACTTCCCGACCAATTGGAAGACAGCAATTATAGCACCGATTTTGAAGCCGGATAAAGATCCAACCTACGCCGCCTCCTACAGACCGATAAGTCTTTATCGACCCTAAGCAAGATTGCGGAAGCTGTTATCCTGGCAAGAATCCATGATTTTCTGCAGGAAAATAACATCTTGATTCAAGAACAGTATGGATTCAGACGAAAACACTCTACCACACATCAACTTTACAGAGTTACGGAGCTGATTGCAGATGGATTCAAGAAAAAATTAATCACTTTAGCTCTCTCCCTCGATATATCGAAAGCTTTTGATTGTGTATGGTTACAGAGCCTCACTTACAAACTAATCACCCTGGGTTTCCCAGATTACATCATAAACATCATCAATTCCTATCTTTACGATAGATACTTTGTCGTTCGTTATAACAATACCCACTCTACACGTAAAGCAACCCTGGCGGTTTGCCACAGGAAAGCTTGCTCTCCCCCACATTATTTTCAATTTATACGAACGACATCCCACACAACCCCCTCACTACACTAGCACTTTACGCAGACGATACGGCGATCCTCCACCAAACGCATCTATGGCCGCAGTTGTACAAACATTACAAGAACACATCCATGCACTAGAGTCCTGGATGATAAAATGGAAAATCAAGACCAATGTGGAGAAATCAGAAGCTGTCTACTTCACCTACAAAACCAACCTGGACCTGGATATCACCCTCAAAATATATGGTATCAGCATTCCTTGGGCCAAGCAAATTAAATACCTTGGTGTCATCTTAGACCAAAGACTTACTTACATGGGCCCCACACGTTACATATACTTTAAACAAGTTTCGGGGTGTAAAAGCATTACTCAACCCCCTAATTGCCTGAAACTCTGGTTTGCCTATTGAAAATAAAGTTCTTGTATTTCAATCCATTTTGCGTCCCATCATCACTTATGCCCGTCCAGTCTGGGGTAACAATGAAAAGAATTCAACAAGTACAAAATATAACTTTGAGGCAGATGGCAAATTGTCATTAGGAATGAGGCAATTCATCGTGAACTCAATATTGATAAAATCAACGTCTGCTTTGCTAAAATTGCAAAAAATTTTTTAAGAAACATTCATAAAGTAAATAACAGCTCCATTCCATAGCTGGACTATAACTACCAGGATAGAGACAACAGAAAAAGACCGAAAGCGGTCCTTTTACATCTAAACACGTAAACTATGATTGTATTTCCTTATTCCCCTTGATAATTTATCTTTAAATCTAATTGAGCACTGAATGATGACTTGTTCCTAAATAATTTTATTCTGCTTTATAACACGACATAAGTGTCGCCATCTAGGAAGTAATTTCAGAACTACTGCCAGACTCTGGAAAATACAAATTGCCATCTGTTAGAAAACTCTGCTATATAAGTTTTTTACTACAAGGTAAATTAACTCAGTTATGCTGTACCCTATCCAACTTAATATCTATATTAACCTAATTTCATAGAAATAACTATTATTGCTTTCCATGATCCTTTTCCTTGACTTCAAAATAATTCACACCACCTAATATTAATGTACATTATGTTATTACGTTAACTCCTTTCCCAGGCAAATGCCTGTCTTGCAAGTAGATGCACTTACTTTTCAGATTCACCATTGGTAAAGACGGCCAGTAGCTCCGCCAACTTCACCAAAGTACCTCCAACGCCTTCAACTCAGATGAGCCCTCGCCATTCAGACGCTAGCACGCAGCATTTTGCATTTACACTGCCGGATATTCGAACTAGCTCAACAAAGGACATATCTGAAGACTCATAACCTTGTACCTTCACAAGATTTATTTATCTCAATTACGAACTTTATAACGTAAGGGTAGAAAAAGATATGCCATTTTCGCATGAGTTCCACACAGGATGGGTTTTCATAACCTGGGTGGCGGCGAACAAGTGTTTTCTAACACCTGAGTCTTCAAAGCTTTACGGCTTCTGACTTGGCACACATCTAAAAGAACAATAAGCACAGAAGCATTGTTGCCACACAAAAAAGGAAATACAGTCAAAAGTCGTTAATTCGGACACCCATAATCCGGAATGATCTATAATCCGGACCTCAAAGCTACAAACTTTCTGCGCATGCGTCTGCGCGTAAGACCTTTACGGCTGCTAATATGCATGTGCGCATGCGCGTTTAATGTATAACGGACGGTATAAGCTAAGCTAAAATTATATAATTCAGTTAATGTTGCGGATTGTGTTGTTTCTTAATCTTCGAATTGGATCTGCCTTATTTTTTGCAGACTGTTAGAGCAATTTTATAAAAGTAAGCTTGAACTTTCGATTATGTCAAATAGAATTTACAATATATATTTACTAATATGTAAAGGATCTACAAAGCGAAAGTATGTTTCGAAATCCGAAATCTGTTTATCAATTTCACGCTGCGGCGAGAGTGGGAAACGCCACGGCGCGCAATGAGTTGGAAGTTGATCTGTCAGCACTATCCTTATCTTCAGGGTAGATGTTTTTATTTTATTTAGCTTATAATTCCTTACTAAATGTAGTATTTCATCTCGATGTACTCCTTTGATGTGATTTAAATCATGTTCCTCGTCATTATAATTCGCTTCCGATAGTGAAGAAAGTGACACAGAGGTTATTGAAAACGAAAAAATTTCGATTGACAAATTAGTCGGTATTCTCGACACAGCAATTATAGGACATGAACAGCGGAACTTTGTAACTAAACAAGAAATTATGTCTGTTTAATAGAATTAAAGAGAAAGTATTATCACATGAAACGAAGCAACTTAAACAACTTACATTGAAAGAAATGTTTAATAAAGTAAAAAATAAATATTAACCTTTTTCTTTTTGTAAATTTTGATAGCCTTTAGATCATAATTGTTCTTTATTTCATAAATTATGGTTTCATATTTTTAATTTTGTAATTTCTGCATGCCATCTTGCCAGATTTAAACTGATAATCTATAATCCGGAAAAATCGATAATCTGGAATCGGCGAAGTCCCGACGAGTCCGGATTAACGACTTTTGACTGTATGGTTACACACTTAACACAGTATTAAAACAAAAACACAGTTTTGAAAAATAAACGATAATAAAAATAGTAATAATAAAATGCTTATTTAAAAATACACAATATTGTCTTGGTTATGCAACATGGTGTGTCACAGTCTTTAAACTTTTTATATATAAGTATCTATTATTGGATCAACAAAATTAAGTTTTTGGTTCACAATGAAATGTTTCTAACCTGATTTTCCAAATCTGTTTTACATGCCTGTTGACAGTGTGAATAAATCTTCCGTCCCACTTAGACATGGTCAACAAATTAAGCCGCAGGTATTTAGACACATGGTAGTTTGTCAGCCAAGTTTGGAACAGACGGTAAAGAAAACAGTGCGACACCATCCGTGTGTACCTTACCATTTCGAGCAACATTCGAAGTTCCCTTCTCATTCTCAAAAAGTATTAGACCTACAAACTTGCAATTTTGTATGTCTATTAGAACTCCCTTGAACATATTGAATTCAAAATTTTATTAATCTACCTCTTATTGTTATGGAATCAGTAAAATCTGAAAAGTGTAATTTTTATCACTCACTGACTGACTTGCTCATCAAAACTAGACCATTTTTTTAATGATTTAGATACTTGAAATTTGGTATCAAGGTACATCATAAGGCATATACAAAGAAAAAAATCTAAAACTTAAAAAAAAAAAAAAAAAAAAAAAAAAAAAAAAAAAAAAAAAAAAAAAAAAACATTAGTATCGAGGTTAAACCAAATAATACTCGTAACAAGCATTTGACAATGTACCAATAGATGGCATTACACCGATCGCCAGTTTCCGCGCCACTCAGATGCTAATCAATGCTGTCGAAAGTGAATAAAACCTGTTTATGATAGATGAAATGGTAGTGCAGAAATAGAGTGCAGAACCGGTTGTTTTTTCATTTTGGTAGTGAGTTCGGACGTAACTACAACAATCTCGAAAAGAATATGAACAGCTTTCAAAAGATAAAAGTGTTGCTGTTCAGTAACTAAAATTTAAGTAACGAAACAGATGTTGTATGCAAATCAAACAACAGAACACACACACACACACACACACACACACACACACACACACACACAAAAGAAAGCCTGAATCTATACTTTAAAATAGAATTTGAACATTTATATTGTTTAATAATTAAAAATAGCTGTTTAAACTTATTGTTTACATTTTTACGTTTCTTTAAAAATCTAAAATTTCAAAAAACTGTATTATTATTAAGGTTAAACCAAATAGTGTTCATGGAGAATGTCGACAATTTAAGAAATTGCTAATAAAAAGAAACCAATGCAACATAAATGTAACATTTCCACCATTATGGAAAATATAGAAATTGCTAATGAAAAGAAACCAGTGCAGCGTAAACGCAAGAAATAAAAAAGAATTGATGGTCACATATTTGCTTAG